TATTTACAACCCCCACCAGATAAAACCAAATTAAACCAATATTTAAAGTTGTGCAGTTAAAATTATTCTTAAAAAACCCGATTTAAAAACCCGATTTAAAATCCTCCCTAGGCCAGGCCCGCTTGCTGGAAAAGCCATGTCTTGAGGGCGCGGCGGAAAGTAAGGAGATCCGGAATCATCCGGATCTCGGGGGGTAGTTAAACTTATTTGTCAAGATCCTACCATCAGCCCAATCATATTGTGTGGATGAATAATGAATAATCAGCATGGAAGGAAGGGCATGATGCCAAATATCACTAAGTAGGGCAGGACCTTATTGTTTTTGTTCATTGGGCATATGTTTAAGAGAAGAACAGATTTTATACCCACATACTCTCCACATAACTAATGTTAAGAACAGTGATAATATGCATATTACTCCTGTATTTGCTCTGTCCTTTGCAGCAGATTGCTTCTTCACAAACTTACAAAGTTTTGCATTTATGCTTATGGCACTTTTGTAACATATTTTCTAAAACTGAGCAACCTTAGAGAAAATAACCAAATGAAACACTCTTAAAAATCCATTATCCATGTCAAAAAAGGTCTATTTTCAGTGACCATTTTAACGTATTCCTACTTATACACTGTAAACGTACAAAAATAACACTGTAGTTATTTTTAAAAGCTTTAGAATGGGACAGTGCCACATCATGGCTGGCTCTTTAAATTTCCTCTTTAATAAACATTCAGAAATTAGAATATTCTCTATGAAAACAATGAAAGAGCCCAAATAAATATATTTGCTTTCTTTCTTTCTAAGAAAGAGACAGAAACAGAAGAGTTTATAGTTTGACATTTTCTTTACATGTTGATAATTGTCACTTCCAGAAAAATATACTGCTCAAAAAAATAAAGGGAACATTTTAACATGGAACTGAAGGAGTTTGCGTTCCCTTTATTTTTGTGAGCAGTATATAATCTGACCATCATTTTGATAACAAACTTACCCAAGTGAAGACTGATATGATTAATGCAAGCCTCAAAAAATTTCTCAGCTTCAGGGGGTTCATAATTAAATAAAGAAAATAGAGCAAGAATAACATGTACTTCTGAATAATAGATCTAGAGAAAGAAAATAGGAGAAATCAGCTCATCTGTTTTTGCCAGTTTTGCATAACATTCAAAAACCAACCACCCATCAACCTCTCCAAGATTTCTTCAAACCCAGGAGAGAAGAATTTTTCAAATATTCTGGTCCCAAGAATTTTTGATACTTCTAGCACTTTTAATTATGCTCTGAAACAGAAGGGAGTCATGCTTTTCTAATCAGGTCCATTGCTTACTTGCAATAGTCTGAGCATTTTTTAAAGGCTACCGCCAGGTTATACTAACTAATCCATGTAAGATTTAACTAAGTATCTGTCACTATAGATGTGGCACCTCAACAAAAGATATAGAAATTTGTTTTATAAACAGAACCCCAACCCCAGCAAAACCTGGGCACCTAGGTTCAGATGACAATTCTGAACTAAACCTAAATAGAAAACTTCACCCTATAACAATCATAATCTGAATTCTGATTTCGTTTCTTATCTTCAACTAATATAAATTTGTAAATGAAGGAGAAAACATTTATTTAAAACAAGTGATTGGGTGGGAGATGCAAAGGATTGCTTAACCAGGGATGTCTGATTTGGAAGAAGCTGGTTGCTTGATGGATTTTAACCCTTTCTATAACAGGAACTATGTTTTATTTCTCGCCTCCACTCCACCTTCAGTTGATTTTTTTCCCTCATCTCCATCCAATTTTGTTTTCTGCTTTCTCTTCCCTTTTTAGTACATTTAGTTCTTATTATTCCACTACCATCCTATCTTTTTCTATTTCTGAATCTATGTGTGTGTAAATTGTGAGATTAATCTGTATGCAAGGAAGAGAATGCAAATGAAGAATCAATTAATTTTAAAAAGCAGTTCAATTATTTTCTAGGCAATTAATATTAATCATTAGTTATTAATTCAGTTAATATTAATTAGGCATTTTTTTCATAGCCCTGCCCTTTTTGGAGTTGCTTCTGATAAGTAAATACACTGGTGTTTAAAAGTTTGTGAACCCTTTGAATTTTCAATATTTCTGCATAAATATGATCTAAAATGTGCTTGGTTTTTCACACAAGGAGTTAAAATAGTTGAAGAGTACCTACTTAAATAAGTCAAAAACATTATTCTGGTTTATTTACCTATTGAGGGACAGCCATCCAAAGCTATACATTTGTGTGGCAAAATTACGTGTGCCTCTAGGCATGTCAAACACACGGCCCACAGCCCAGTGGTGGCCCACGCAGGACACTCCCACTCTGGCCCCGCAAAGGCAAAGAAACTCCCAATATGTCATGATACAGCCCGCGATGCAATCAGGCTTGACACCCCTGCTCTAGGACTATTGAAGGAAAATTGAAAGTGAGTAGTTTCAATCTCCTGACTCTAATTTTGGGATAATAATCAGATATGAGTATGGGAACCCCTGCCTTATTTAAAGAAGAAAATTCGGGCTATTCATCATCAAGGTCTGATTTTCATAGCACAGCTATGTGGAAGTGTGTCATGGCTTGAACAAAAGGGATTTCTAAATTGCTGAAAAACAGTTGTTGATGCTCACTGAAGAAAGCCACCAAACTATTTCCAAAGCGTTTGGATCCTATCAATTCACTGTTAATTAGATTGTGTACCAATAGAGACAATTCAACACCAATGCTACCCCACCCCACCCCAGTGGTTGACCGATCAAGATCATATCAACAGCAAAGCCTATAGTAGTCTGGGAAATCTTAAAGAACCCGAGAGTAACTAAAGGCCTTTCTTGCACTGATAAATGTTAGCGTTCATGAGACCAACATCAGAACTCTAAACAATGGTGTGCATGTCAAGGTTACCAGGAGAAAGTCAGTACTCTCCAAAAATTAAATAAACATTGGTGCTAGTCTACAGTTTGCAAAAGTGGATAAGCCAAAAGGATGTTGTGGAAAAAAGTTGGGTAAACTTTTTGGCATGAATGAAAAGTGCGTAAGGTATTTACCCATGTAGTAGGGCTGTATTGTTATTATCCTTCTCATCTTCTCATATTTCTCATCTTATTTTACCAATTTTTCTATTGGTACCTTATGATTAATCACTTATTTGTATCTTGTGATTTATGATTGTATCTTATGATTTATGATCTATGACTTATCATTTTGTGGACTGTATGTACACTGAGAGCTTATGCACCAGAAACAAATTCCTTGTGTGTCCAATCACACTTGGCCAATAAAGAATATAAAGAATAAAGAATATTCTTATCTCATCTGTGAAACACAGTGATGGAAATTTCACAGTCTGGGTCTGCTTTGCTGCCTCTGGACCAGAATGGCTTGCCATCATTGATGGGATTACAAATTCCGAATTATACAAGCAAATTCTGTATAAAACTATGAAGCATCTTTCTCTGAGCCAAAGCTCAAGAGAAAGTGGATCGTGTAGTAAAACAGTGACCCCAAACAATAAGATGTATCATCAAAGAATGATTAAATGTTTTGAAATGGCCAAATCAAAGTCATGACTTCAATCCTAGAGTAATGATTTGGGAGGACCTGAAGTGAGCAGTTCATGTGAGGAGGCCACCAATAAACCTAAATTACAGCTGTTCTATAAGGAGAAATGGGCTAAATTCCTCCAAGCCGATATGCAGGACTGAGCAACAGATATTGGAAATATTTACATGAAGTTCTTGCTGCACAAGGAGACCATACCAGTTACACCTACTTTTGCCACACACAAATATGTAACTTTGGGTATCATTAAAATAAAAATCTATGAAATCAGGACTATGCACATTCAGTTTCCACTGATTCCATTTCAATTAACCACCCCACATTTTTATATTTTTTTTAAAAAAACTAAATAATCATTATTTGAGGTTGTATACAGGTAGTGTTCGACTTACAACAGTTCATTTAGTGACCATTCAAAGTTACAATGACACTGAAAAAAGTGACTTTTGGCCGTTTTTCATACTTAAGACCATTACAGCATCCCCATGGTCATATGATCAAAATTCAGACGCTGGGCAACTGACTCATATTTGTGACAGTTACAGTGTCCCAGGGTCATGTGATCCACCTTTTGCAAACCTTCCAAGAAGCAAAGTCAATGGGGAACCCAGATTCATTTTACAACCGTGTTTACTAACTTAACTGCAGTGATTCACTTAACAAATGTGGCAAGGAAGGTCGTAAAATGAGGCAAAATTCAATTAACAAATGTCTCACTTAGCAACAGAAATTTTGGGCTCAATTATAGTCATTAAGTCCAATATACTGCCTGCATATTCAACATTTCTGCATAATGCTCCTCGTACCATCTGTAATACGATAAGTCAAAATATATGTATTTCTGAACTAAAATATATTGTAAATTATTTAGAAGCGATGCATAATCTGTATTAAACATGATTTAAAGGAGGAGCTCTGTCAATTCAAGAGAGTACAAATTAAAGTTTTAAAAAAGCATAAAAAGAACAGCACAGAAATATAAATAGGTATGGCATTGTACAGCTGGAATTAGAAGAAAACAAGATTGTACCAGGAATGTGGAAATAGAACAATAGAGTTGGAAGGGACCTTGGAGGTCTTCTAGTCCAACCCACTGCTCAAGCAGGAGACCCTATGCCATTTCAGACAAATGGTTATCCAGTTTCTTTTTGAAAGCCTCCAGTGATGGAGCACCCACAACTTGTGAAGGCAAGCTATTCCATTAGAGTGACAGCAATGTATGACACTACCTTCTAACAAATCATATTCTTTGGGTACCAAGCCCACATTTTTCACATAACCAGTAGGGGCCCTGAGACCTAATTTGTATGCTACAACTGAACCTTCAGTGTGTACAGTAAATGCTCTATTGCTGCTCTATTGCAGCCCTTCCCTCGTTGCGCACGGCTCATTTCATCATTCTCAAGAGAGATACACGATATCATTTGTACCTGATCGATATGTTCAGTGGTAACCGCAGCTATTCTGTCAAGTAATAGTGTACAGCGGTAGTTGGTTCCAAGGAGAAAGGATGCAAACTTCACTACATTTGACCATGTAATCTGATCTCTCAACTGACGTAAAGTAATTATGGTCTTCTCGAGAAGCACTTCTTGAAACCATTTTC